GGGGAGGGAGGGGTTTTCCTTCCTCCCTCCCCATTCTTCGCTACTTCGGAAGCCCTACTCTCCCCCTCCCCCCCGTCCTCGCCCTTCTCCTCCCCTCCTCGGTCGTCCCACTACTTCCCTCCCCCTTCCCCTGCTCATCGCTCCTAACGGTGACGACCGGGAGGGAGGGGAAGGCGTGGGGGAAAGAAAGTGAGGCTTCAGGTGGGGACGGGGGTTGAGAAGGGGAGGCGGAAGAGGGGGAGCGGTGGAGGACTGATGTCATAGTTTTTTATGCGTTTTGTGCTGTGTAACAGCAATAAAAAACACATATTGTCACGGGTTGTCTGTGTGTGTTTCTGTGTGTGTGTCCGCAGCAACTTGTCTACAACTTTCAACTCGGAAACCACAAAAGCTAGGAAGCTGAAAATTTGGGGGAACGTTCCCCACCCGCGTGTGACCCCGCAAATTTTAATTCAGCTTTTCCGTACCCGCGGGCAACGCGTACGGCCCCGTGAAAGTTTTTTACGGGTAAGTTAATATCTCGGGAACCACGGAGTCTATGAGGCTAAAGTTTTAGGGCAATGACCTCCTGCCCACGCTCAACCTTGCCCATCCAAATTCAGCGTTCTCGCGCTCTCGGGTACCACCTAAAGCCCCGTGAAATTTTTGGCGGATAAACTATTAACTCGGGAATCACGGAAAGATATTCATCCTTCAAGGTTTCCAATTTAGCTTTCATATGCTGATGCGTGATATTTTTAATTGTTTTCCAATGTCTGAAGTATTTTTGCATAGACTAAAGTACAAAGCAGTGAAAATCATTAATAGGCTATCGTTCGATGGGCTGAACTGCACAAAACGCATGATCTCACCGGCCAGTCCAGTGCGCGTTGCCATTTATTTCACTTTTAACACTGCAATCTGTGTCGCTTGGGAAGGGCGAAAAATCCCGCCTTTCCCCTCCCTGGATTCCCCAATGCCTTAGTTTTTTTTTAATGAACAGACCCGGGCTTTTACAGCACTGGTTTCTGTGCCACTGAGAGGAGGGGGCGAAAAATCCTTTCTCCACTCCTCCCTCCTTAGATCGCCAGAAAGTCGTGATGAAAATGCATATACGAATAGGAAAAGAACCCACTAGTTGTGAAGCGACGAGATGAAATGGCAGAAAACCTTTTTTATCAATATAACATATAATCAACAACGAAGAAAATCTCAAAAAAGTGTAGTAAAAAAGCAAATAACAGCACAGAACTACAACAGACTTTAAAAAAAAAAAAAAAAATCCATACAAGAACAATAAAAACCATAGCAAGAGTAACAATAAATTAGAAAGATAGACAGAAAAAACCGTAAACATACCAACCACCAAAGACTGGACAAAAAAAATTACAGATTCCTCTCTAGATTAAACAGGAACTATGCAAAAAACTATACAGAACCACTATACAGGAACTATGCAAAAAACTATACAGAACCTCACTACCACTATACAAAACATAACAGAAAAACACCATACATTCACACAATAAAGAAACATCTTACATTTCTACAATACAGAAACACTTTACATTCACCGTTCCAATTTCTTTGATCACATGGAAGAAACCATCTTCACAATTCCTTTCACAATACTATAGACCGGATCTGCAATATAATTCCCTCTAAATTAACAATTACTGAACAAAAAAAAACACAAAACGT